GGACTTTCACAATGGGGGTTGATGGGTGTCCCTCAACACTAACCACTACTGGCTTTCCGAAGCTGACTTATTGGTAGTATTCTTCTTACACTGGCTCTTCATATGTCCTTGCTCTCCCCAGTTCCAACCACCTTTCTAGGTAGCAGCCTTTCTTGCCATGGTATTTTCTCTGTGATGAAGATGCCAGCATTAAGCTCTCTTGTGCCCAGTTCTTCAAACTTCTCTGAAAGCTGCCTTTTTCTGGCCTTGAATCCTGATGACTGTACCAACCTTGGTACTTCTCTGCTGGACTTTACGTAGGATTCGATTTCAAGAGCTCTGGCCATTGCATCCTGCATTGTAGAGGGGTGTGCTTGCTTCACTTGTATCTTCAGTTGTGGACTGTCCAAGTCATCTACAAACTGATCCCTCAGCAACAGCTTGAGGACATCGGGTGGAGCAGTTGGGTAGGCCTTATGTGCCATACTTTCCAAATCCTATGCCAGCTCTTGCAGGTTCTTCTCTTTAGAACAGACTCTAGTCCTAAACCTAGCCCTGTAGACTTTGGAGTGATTTTGAGTTCCATACCTGATTTCTAGAGCAACTACCAGTGCTCTATAGTTGTGCCTGTCATCTGTTGACAACTGTCCAAGTATTTCCAGTGGTTGTCCCTTCAAGCTTGTTGCCAGGTGCACTGCTTTCTGCCCTTCTGTCCATTCATTCATTTCTGCCAGGAGCTCAAATTGTGCTCTATATGCTTCCCATGGTGCCTTCCCATTGATTTCCTGTGGCTTCCTTCGTACTAGATTACCCCTATTGTTGACACTCATGTCTGGAATGTGACTTCTTCATTAGGGTTTAGCTGCAGGGTCTGGAAGGGGCTTCCTGTTGTTTGGGGCTGATTAGGTCCATGGCTAATATATCCTCCATGTGTAAAAAATAGTAAATCATCCTTTAATGTATTTAATTCACTTTGAAATTTACTAATCTTTTCCATGTACTTCTTGTTTCTTTTCATGTTGCAGTTGCCACTGGTGCTGGTTTTTTGCCACTGCTGTAGTCTCTCGTTCATTTTCTTTCTCCTCCCACCACTGCTGTAGTCTCTCTTCTTGTTTTTTTATTTTTTTCTCCAGCAACTACTGTAATCTCTCTTGTTTCTTTTGCTGTTATTGTATTGCTGCCATCAAATCTGATAAGCTGTAGTTTGATTTGTCACTTCTCGTTTTCATCTTCTTTTTTTTTCATCCCACTTCTGACACCAACTTGTTACATATCTGCTTGTTTGTTAATTTCCGGTAGAAATTCTCTCCGAGGAACTTCAGCGATACAAGTCCTTTTTTGATTAAACCTGTTTATTCTTTCTCGATACAAACTTTTAGTACACAGTAATTCCACAGTCAGTACATTTCTCGTCACTTTAATCTTAACAACTTTTATAATACATGCTATAAATCACAGTGATTCACAATCTCTAACTTCGCTCTCGACGAGTACAAAACGTACTTTATGTTGCCCAAAAAAACCATAACTACTGTTTGCTTAACCATACATTCAATCTTGCTGGGTTTTTCTCGCCAGGCTTATATACAAACGAATCTTGATCACACTTGAGCTTCTCTGATAATTTGAGAAACGGTATCAATACAGTTCTGTCAGAGCCTATTGTATCATTGTATTTGTAGACACGTTTAGCTAGTATGACTTATAGAACAAAATCAACTAACCCTTTGATTACTGACATGTTCCCACCATAATACTGTTTTATGACACAAGTTTACCATTTTAGGATTTACTTATTTTTGAAATCAAAGCTGGGTACAAAATGTTGACAATGAATGAGAGTTTGACATGGTAATTGAAGTATTAAATTTCTTTATATTGAATACTTGATTAATGCTCATTTATAAAGACTTTAAGTGAAAATAATTATTAGGTTATAAAACAATTAACTTCATCAAGATGTGTATTTTTTTGTCTAATTTTTTTTACACCCAATTCCTCAGATTTCCAAGCTTTGCTTTTAGATATTTTAAGTTGCACATTGTAATGCCCAATCACTCTTATAAGTTTGTTCATAGCACAAGTTTGAGCATTAAGAGTTCATTCATTTGTAGGCTGAACCAGATCACTTAGGAGATCACAGTGACCAAGATGTTGAAAAACGTTCAGTGTCATCGGAAAACAGTGACCAAGATGTTGAAAGACATTCGGTGTCATTGGAAAACAGTGACCAAGATGTTGAAAGACGTTCGGTGTCATCGGAGAACAGTGACCAAGATGTTGAAAGACGTTCGGTGTCATCGGAGAACAGTGACCAAGATGTTGAAAGACGTTCGGTGTCATTGGAGAACAGTGACCAAGATGTTGAAAGACGTTCAGTCTCATTGGAAAACAGTGACCAAGATGTTGAAAGACGTTCAGTCTCATTGGAAAACAGTGATCAAGATGCTGAAAGACGTTCAGTCTCATCAGAAAATAACTTGGAAATGGGAGAGTCCAATATGGAAGATCAGTATAGGGGAGATATAATGCTAGATAGAGGTGATGCAGAAACAGCTAGAACTGAGGTAATTAATAAAATAATAATAAAAGTTGTAATACAATTGGTTTTTGGAATTTCAATCCAGAGCTTACTATAATGGTAATTTTGTGCTGTTGTCCAATCGGACCACAGGTGTTCTGTAATGTAACTTTTCAAGGGTGTGCTGATGAGGATTAAATGTCAATCCTTCCTTTTTTTTAATATGAATTTCTGATTAAAGTGTTCTAATCATGTACATCTGAACTAAAGTTATTTAACAGTAGAATGAACAATAATGAAGACAATCTGGTATAAGAACTGACTAGAAATTGATAATGTACTAAATTTATCATTATTAAATTGTAATGAATCAATGCAATGGTTGAGTAACAATATTGTACAAGATTTTGGCAATTTGGAAGAGTTTAGTTCTAAGTCCACATACAAAGCTATCAGTATGAAATGATGTCCATAAGTGTAAATATAGTGAACAATTTACATTAGAACCAATAAGATTTAATGAAACTAACTATAAAAAAGTAGAATAGGCTATTACTTATAAAAGGTGTTAACTGTAACAAATCCTTTGTCTTATACTAGGAATAACCAAAAGAATACCAGGATCTGTAAAAACAAAACAGTGTTAGCTTGAAGTTTTACAAGTAAAAATAAATTAAAAATGATATTGTAAGTCAGTAATTTAAGTTGTTACCTTATGTAACTTCACATAAAAATTTAGGAGAAAGTAGAAAGAAGACTTCAAAAATGAATCATGTTTGGTAATACAACACTTACAAACTTATTAACTCACAACACTTCTTAGTTTCAATATCCAATTTATTGTCTATGTTCTCAAGTGTCTGGCATTTCAGTTTTGAAGTATTTTATACTTTCTTTGTTATCATATGATGAAAACATAATTCAGTGAGGATGGTTATTGACGAAACGTGTGATGAATTTAAGTAGTAAGACACTAATTCACTTACAGCCATCGCTATAGCTATCTCCAAAACTTGTTGCGAACTGTGATAATGGTTATTAGTCTATTAATTCTAATGGGGGTGTGAGCCAGCATTCTCCATACACAAGCTTGAGAATGCTCAACCAAATGCAGAAGAAGGTGTGTAAATATGAATATAATAATTAACAAAACATGAAAGAAAACTACCTCAAAACACCCATAATTTATAATATATTTATAAACATACATTTGTAATAATCCACATCTAATATCAGAAACTTGTTGATTAGTTAATTTGAATGTTATGAAAGGTAGATTTGGGAATAGGTAGCTAGAACGTTCTGGAAGGTAGATTTGGGAATAGGTAGCTAGAACTTTCTGACAGGTAGATTTGGGAATAGGTAGCTAGAATGTTCTGAAAGGTAGCTTTGGGAATAGGTAGCTAGAACGTTCTGAAAGGTAGATTTAGATACAAAATAAATCATTACACTAACAAGTTCACCTTATAAATAACAAAACATCAAAAATAATGAATAAAATTAATAGAATTATGAGACATTAATTTAACTAACCTAATGCTTTAATACATAAGGAGATGCATATAACTTACCATAACATACTAGTGAAAGTTAATGCTAGTATTCTCTGTATCTATCTAAATTATTCATTGTTTTCTTATTAAAGTAAAATAAAAATCAGTTAATATAGATTGCCAAGCTGTGATCTTTGAAATTTTGAGAAGGTTGTAGTGTTCTGTCAAGTTATAATTAGTATAGTACAATTGTATTTGGTGTTCAAAATATGGTAGAAAGAACTTTGCTTGTGAAAATGAGTATTTACAAAGTATACCTGCTAAGCAGGTTATCCATATTGAACATGAATACAGAGCTTGAATTAACTTTTTCAAATTCAATTCATTTGAAGAGATATTTTTCCTGTTTCATAACTGTATTCTATCTGAAATCAAAACACAAGTTGCTTCAGGAAGTAATATAAAGATAATCTTTATCTCGGTCCAGTTTGGTATCATTAAATAAATTCATCTCGTAGGGCTTTGTTTAGGTCCAGTTTGATATCATTAAATAAATTCATCTTGTAGGGCTTTGTCTAGGTCCAGTTTGGTATCATTAAATAAATTTATCTCGTAGGGCTTCATCTCGGTCCAGTTTGGTATCATTACATAATTTCATCTCGTAGGGCTTTGTCTAGGTCCAGTTTGGTATCATTAAATAAATTCATCTCGTAGGGCTTTGTCTAGGTCCAGTTTGGTATCATTAAATAAATTCATCTCGTAGGGCTTTGTCTAGGTCCAGTTTGGTATCATTAAATAAATTCATCTCGTAGGGCTTTGAATAATGTTTTTGAGAAAGATACCTCTTCACAATCTCTCGCCTTCCCACCTCCCCATTCAGGAATGAGCTTTTGTTCAAATGCTAGTGGGGATTACTGCTCCTAGAGGATGGGCTGCCTTCCTTATGATCACATTATGGGTTGGTGCAATACATTTGTAGGGGTGATATCTGTTCAAGGCTTGTGACACGAACAGGAAATTACAGAGCAGTGCATTTGAGATAATAGCTTTGTTGTACAGAGAGGTGAGTATCTATCTGAAATGCATTTTTAGGTAAGGAAACTAACATCCAGAAATGTGAAGTAATTGTTTTTTCTCTGTTATAGAAGTTGGAAGAAGTTGATCAAGAAATGTTGCAGCAAACGACACGAGAGGAAGAAACTCTTGTGTCTGTTTCTAAACTAGTAAGTTGTCTGTTTCTAAACTAGTAAGTTGTCTGTTTCTAAACTAGTAAGTTGTCTGTTTCTAAACTAGTAAGTTGTCTGTTTCTAAACTAGTAAGTTGTCTGTTTCTAAACTAGTAAGTTGTCTGTTTCTAAACTAGTAAGTTGTCTGTTTCTAAACTAGTAAGTTGTCTGTTTCTAAACTAGTAAGTTGTCTGTTTCTAAACTAGTAAGTTGTCTGTTTCTAGTCTAGTAAGTTGTCTGTTTCTAGTCTAGTAAGTTGTCTGTTTCTAGTCTAGTAAGTTGTCTGTTTCTAGACTAGCAAGTTGTCTGTTTCTAGACTAGCAAGTTGTCTGTTTCTAGACTAGCAAGTTATGTTTTGGTTCATTGTTTTGTTTTTCGATTGAATGACTGACTGTTGTATATTTAAATATGTTGTAATAAAGTATGTATGTTATGCTGAAAATAAAATTTAAGATATATGATAAGGTGTTGCTGTTTTTCTTACAAGTGTAACTAAAGTAATTTAATGTCTGTTATTCACAAACTTGTGTGATGTTTTACTTAAAAATGAATAACCTTGTGTAGGCATAATTATGTATTGAGTTCCTTAAAATGTATATTATATGAAATATGAATAAATACGCAGTGTCTCAGTACTTTAGTAATTTGTATAAATTTAAGTATGATAAATTATTTTATCATTTAATACAATTCTTTGTTATTACTGTGGCTTTGATTGACCTACGAACTATAGAAAACTATGGATGTTGCAAGTGAGGAAGATGATGTTCAATCAGAAACTGTTGTGGACTTGGAGGGTCTGGTCAGTGATGTAAAACTTAATTTTCTTTTAATTGATAGATAAATATTGTTCTTCATGATGTCTGGTATCTTCTGATATAGCTTGCTTCTGTGACTTTAAGAAGTAAGAATTGAAACACTAGTGTGAAAACCATTTTTCACTCTTTATTTATCATTATTTTTAATAGCAAATTGTTTTAGTAATTTTTGAATCCATGAAGCAACTATTACCTCTTGATTAAGAGTAAGCAGAGTAAATCATAACTGAAAGACAACTTACAAATGAAAGAAGAAAATAACACCTAATAAACTCATAAGAAATCACAACATAGGAGAACACTTTTGAGAGAAATGTAAGTTATCTAATAGTGCAAGAATAGTTTTCAATCTTTTTAAATACCTTATTGTTATTGGATATAACAGTAGTATCAACAATACGTGTACCAAGAATACATTGAATTTTGTTATACATTATTGTAAGTTTTTACATTGCATTGAAGTTTTTTGATTTATACTGATATCATAGAATATATATCTTCTCTTTAAATTAAGAAGTAATTGGGTCATTCAGAACATTGGATTAAGGGACCTAAGTTAAATTTTTGGTTTTAAGGAGTTGGGTTATAGGATACTGGAAGAGCATGTTATATATATTATGTAAGTAAAAGGGAAGAACATTTTTTGTTATAAGAGTAGGGTCGTGATTAAACTAAAACTCTTAACACTACTTTCATGGGAAATTACATTTTGTCTGACAATACAAGTTAAGAGTTAAAGACAACTTTTATTTCTTTAGGATTTAAATAGAAGGTAGTCATTCAAATTTTTATACAGCTGGCTATTTATGTATGAAAGATCTACACTAAGTCAGGTTATGAATATTCTCTCAGACATGTTTAATAATACCTGATATGTGAAGACAATAATGCTTGTACTTGAAATACTTCAATTATAACATTGTTTCACTGTAGAATTCCAGTACAGAACATGTTTAATAATACCTGATATGTGAAGACAATAATGCAGGAATTGAAGTATTTCAAGTAATAACATTGTTTCACTGTAGAATTCCAGTACAGAACATGTTTAATAATACCTGATATGTGAAGACAATAATTCCAATACTTGAAATACTTCAATTATAACATTGTTTCACTGTAGAATTCCAGTACAGAACATGTTTAATAATACCTGATATGTGAAGACAATAATGCAGGTACTTGAAATACTTCAATTATAACATTGTTTCACTATAGAATTCCAGTACAGAACATGTTTAATAATACCTGATATCTGAAGACAATATTTCCAATACTTGAAATACTTCAATTATAGTATTGTTTCACTGTAGAATTCCAGTACAGAACATGTTTAATAATACCTGATATCTGAAGACAATAATTCCAATACTTGAAATACTTCAATTATAGCACTGGTTCACTGTAGAATTCCAGTACAGAACATGTTTAATAATTCTATTTAAAAGAGAGATTGTGTATGTTCCATGCGACTGATTGGCACAACAATCTGAATAAAGACTGAGAAAAGGGAGAAGATACATAGAGGAAATGGGCTACGTAGAGGAAATGGGCTGACATTATGGAGACAAACATTTACTTTTGGTGTAAAGAAACAGTGTATATCTAGAATTATTTGTTTTACCTACTTTAGTTATTACCCAACTTATTACTAGCAGAGAAAGATATTTTTTTTATGACAAATTACACAAGACCAAGTTAATCTTAGATTTGTTGTATGTTTCCATTGTTTTTAGTAGAATTGTGGTTAATACTGAACAGATCAATAAATGATCCACACCAAAGTTATCTACAAGTTAATTTTTATTCAGGAAGGAATAATCTTTTCAAAATTTAAACTCCTGAGGAGAGTTTCGAACTTTGAGAGAAATTAGGATATATATATAATTAACCATAGTTTAACTAATCGTTAAATAAATAATAATTACCGGGGGCTATTAACAGTTTTATTTATGTACTTGTATTTTTTGTTAATAGACAAGATATAAAATTAAATATGATTGAATAAGGGGTTGATGTAGTAAGTTGCAAAACATGCAGTAGTGTGTCAGTTTGCAAGCTGTTTTGATACAATTTTGTTGCACGTGATGTTTTTGATTAGTCTAGTAAACATTGTGTCATACTATATAAAGTTATTTGTATGCCTTGAGTTCAAATTGTAATTTATGTTGTCTTCTAATGTAATTAATTATGGTATGTGCAGAAGTCCACATACATCCAACAAGCTCAAGATGATTCTGTTTCTCCAACCCGGGACCTAATAACCACAGGAATCAGTGTCAAGACTTTAGTAAGTTTCCTGTTGTTGAATTTTACAAGACTTCCATATGTTTTACACTGGGAAACCTAGTGTTAATTGATGTTGTTTTTTACTGTGTTTTTTTAACAACCTTGATCTTTTGTTTGTACAACACCACATTATTCATTTCACCAAAATGTTTTGTTAACCTTTCTTTTTGTTCAAACTTCTCTTAATAACAGTTTTCAGTATATTCCCAGTTTGAATGGTTAGTAAAAGATTAGTGTTCATTGTGACCAGTGTACTGATAATAACTATTTTGAGAGATTGAAATGTTTTAATAGGTGAAGCTTTTGACATACAAGTTACCAGTTTTTTAATTTTACAGGTTATCATTAAACCCCTCTTAAGATGTGGATATTTCTCTTAACTTGTATGTTCTGTATTTGTTCCTTTCCCTCTTCATGTTAGCAGGAAACTTATCCTGGCCCAGAATAAAGCACTGTAAATCTTTCTCTCTCTTTTAGCTTTGCCTTTTAACTGTGTTGCTTTCCTTAATCTAAGGAATATAGAATATTAAAAGCTAATAATATATTAATTTGTTACTTAAACACTATTTCAAACTGCTTATGATAAAAAAGAAGTGAGATTAGCAGATGAATTGTTAATGTGCTATAAAGTAAGTTCAAATCTTAATCAAATAATGCTTTCACTTTAAATATTTGTCAAACACTCTAACCAAGAAAAT